GCAGGCAAATCCACTTATGTTCGTCCTCCCGATTACTGATATGATTTTCATAAAATCCGAGTTGATATCTGCTCTCTAATTTTTTTTTACAAATTTTCTGACGTACCCATTACTAAGGCACATCCGTGTCAGTTTGCCCAGCTCCTCGTCCCAGAACTCAGTGTCTGTTAGTCGTAAGCTTCTGAGGATCAAACTCCTCATTATCCCGATCTTCAGTCTGTAGTTATGGTGAGACTGAAAATTAATGATTATTCTCGCATATGAATACATTCCATATAGTCTACTCCTGAGTGTCCCCTTGGAGCGTATGAATTCAATATCCAGAAAGGGTAGCGTTCATCCTCCTCCACCTCCATTGTGAATTTAATTCGTTCATCAAGTTGGTTAATAAAATTGAGGAATTCATTTTAACTTTCCTTACAATGTGACCAAAGTGCAAAATAGTTAACTAAGTAGCGCATAAGCACTCTTGGTTGCAATGGTGACTTCACGAATTCCCTTTCCAACTTGTCCATGTACACATTTGCCAAAAGAGGTGAGAGTGGAGATCCCATCGGTAGTCCAAATATTTGGTAGTAGATACGGCTACTAAATGTAAAATATGCGGTCCTTACTGTCAGGTTGATCAGTCGTGTTAACGATTCTTTCCGTATCCGTTCTGCCTCCAGGATGTCCTATTCTCGCACCAATATCTCCAGCAAGGCGCTTACCACCTCACCTGAGATGTTTGTGTACATGGATTGTACATCGAAACTCACGAACAGTTCCGACCCCAACAACCCAATCTTATGGATACTTTGAGAAAATTCATATGAATTCTTGACGGTATTCGAGAGTCTGTCATTTACTTTCCTGAGCTTCAAGCATATGAATTTCGCTAGTTTGTGTATTGCTCCATGCTTGTTGTTGAATATTAGTCTTAACGGATTTCCTTAGTCTTGTCGTCGTCTGTAAAAATTGATGCATTCAATACAGGAACATCGAAATTCGACCGGGATGGCTTGGTCTTGCGCTGCCTAATTAACCCATAGCTAAGCAATTTCCTGTCATGCCGCCTATTTATCAGATCCAGGTCCCTCTGTGACTTCTGCTCGGTCATGCTATGGAGTTTTTGAAAATCATCTAAAGTGAGAACCCTACCTAGATCCTTCCTTAATCTAGACTTGAGATCTATGAACTTAAATAGCTTACTTGATGGTATTAAGACCAAGATGGTGTGGCTTTTTGTGTGGTCGCAGTCTCTTTTCGTTGTATAGAAGTTTTTTGACCTTGTTTTCGCAACTTGATCTTATTGGTAGGAAGACTTAGAGGAATACACCTTGTGCGAGGCAAATAACGCCTTGAGTAGCCCAGATAGGGTGGAAGGGGTCGAGTGAAATATGTTAACTAAGGAGAGAGCAGACGGATCTTACGGCGTAAGAGGGAGACTTCGATAGTACATATGGGAGGAGGACTGTGTACAATATGACGGACTCTGATCAACATTCCCAGCACAAGAGTGAGGGGTGAGAACGACAGCGTGGAGTGTGAAGGATTTTCACGAATTCCGCTCTACGGAGCACACCACACTACATCGAAATGAGCACGGTAAAAATTGCGTGATAGGAGGATATATGAAATATGAATAGCCCAGAGCAGAAGTGGAGATTCCACAACTGTTTCGCACACGTTTGGTCAAAAGATCGGCTTCACTTGTCTCTTTGACGAGTTGTTTTGTGGTGCTAAGAATGGC